TGCATTTCCGGGAACGGTGGAGGCGTGACGCACGGCCGGACTTATCTCAGCCAATGACAGCTATGCATGCATCCCCTGGATATTATTTTAGAAACTGCTTTCATCGCGTCGCGATGTTTCCAGAGAGAACAGCTGTACGGTCCATGCAGAAAGCAGAGCAGTGTGTATAATATATATCACTCAGTATAACAGGCCTACTCTCTTTATTTGCTTTAGTTTAGTAGATATCTACAAACAAAGAGTCGATATTTTTCTAAGACCATTGCTTCACATAATAAAATACACAACGGCTTATGCTTTAGGAGCTGTAGGTGTGTGTGGTACAGTGTATAGGTGTGTGTTGTACAGTGCGTAAATGCGGCGGACAGACGGGTCTCAGTTGGTTTGGTGTCCTCTGCTTACTTTTAATAGGCCTACTTGTAAATACAACTTTTGGCCCGTAATTTCAATTCCCCATTTCAGCGACCAGAGAGAGGGGGGGATATATCCAGTCTCTGATTGTGTTACGTTATTATGAGAGTGCTCTCATACTTTAAATTGTATATATTTATATAAATATATTTGTGTGTGTGTGTCCGCATCTGTAGCCTGTTATTGTCTCATTATACTGCACTCTCAATGAATTCAAAGTAAATATGTGGGGGAACAATGTTCAGCTGATCTAACAGAGATACAGCGCTATGACAAAACACTCGACAGCTGATGCAGCTGTTGCCACGTAATAATGAACGGACGTCTCTTTAAAATGACCGCTCAGAGGAGAGGAGTTCTCATTTCTTTAAACGTCTGCTGCTTCCCCTCCTCTCTCCTCGGTCCTCCGCTCGCATCTCCTGTGGGCGGGTCTAAGTCTCGAGGAGGGGAACCGAGGAGGGGAAATTTGAGTATTGAGAAGCCTCTTAAATATATAAATGGACGTAGTGTCCGTGACGTCACCCATAGAATTCTGAAGAGTTGCCGTGAAGCCCTTAGTAGGCGGAGTCGGCCACTAACGGCTTGACAGCAACGTCAGAGTCTAATCCCGCCTGCTCCAAATAAGGGCAAAGAGGCGGAGCCGAGGCGGGACCTGCTGCCTCCGAACTGGAAGTAAACAGAGCTAGCTCAGGCTAAGAAGCTAAGCTAACATGAAATACATGCATACCAAGTTACTGCTAACAGTGTAGTTCCCCTATATAAACGTTACATTCATAATCAAATGAGACAATCTGCAAGAGAATTAGCTTTATTTTATTATTCTTAATGCTTGTCATTCACACGTTGAGAAAAGACGGACTCCACCGCCCGGACCTAACGGAGCCGCAGTGGGCTAGCTCCGGGACGCCGGCTGGAGCTAGCCCCCTGCGGCTCCGTTAGCTCCGGCGGCCACCATTGGGATAATTGGGTCCCCTATTAACATTTGCTCCCGTTTAGCATTATGGGCGTCATAGCCATAGACTATAAAAGTCTTACCCAAGGCTGAATCATAAACTAAAATGTATATGTATGCATAAAGGGTTACGTCCTTAGCTGGCTAATAAGTAACAAGCTGAGCTACCAAGCACACAAACACCTGCGAACGGGGTTAACATGTATAATATTATCATTTTAGACTTCTTGGAGTTCTGTTAGTACATTCAAGCGCACAGCACGACATTTTAATTGTCTGGTATTTGTAACAATATTCTCTAAAAGGCACAATCACCACGAACACGGCTAAAGCTAAAGGGTCAAGTACAGTACTATGACTAACTAACGTTGTCGCCTCTATGGTTGTAGCCTAGCAGAGTGGACAAGTTGCTGTTAGCTGACAGTGAGGCATGTACGTGTCCATCAACGTGACCACGCCCTAATTTATGCAACAACTTTAAGACCTAATATAAATAAAGGGGTTGTGTTAGAAAACAATTCACTCACAGATTCATAATCATGAAGGTGGAATCTAACTATATCGATAATAATATTTATTGCATCCATGGGTAGAAACATGTTTTTTTCTGCTGTAAAGTTGGGCATTTTAACATGGGGGTCTATGGAAATTGCTCCTTTCTGCAGCCAGTCCCTAGCGGCCCATCTATGAACTGCAGTGTGTGGCACTTCCGTATTGGCTTCCCGGCTGTTCCCCAGAGTTTGCCGCTTGATCCACACGCATGGATTAACATCGATTTAATACATTAATGTAGCCTTTGTTTATGCTAAAAGAGGTGTCGACCAGCTGGGGCAACAAGAACATCGCTGTAATCGAGTGTGACTATGAAAAAATAAATCATTACGTCGGGGTAGCATTTGCTTGGTATTTCCGGTTATTTCTCCACTGGTTAACATGGGTTAACAATACCGTGTAGCTGTCACGTTTGAAGGGGACGAAACCGTGACATGTTCACGTCTCCCAGCATGGTAAATCGTCACATGTTCACGTCTTGCCGTGATACCGGGTTGGATATCTAGCCTGTACAAAAAGCAGTCTATTAATCACACTTTTATAATATTAAATATTTTTGGAACATTTTATGCAATAAATAAATAAATGTGTGACCTATTTACTTTTGTTTTTCTTTATCTGCTTTCCTTTTTATGTAAACACTGTATTGTACATCTGTTTATAAAAGCTCTCTAATAGAGCTGGACAATTGTTGAAATATTTTCTGCATTTGATTCTGCTGCCATCAGGTTCATGTTCTTTTTGGTTTATTTGCATGTGTCCCAGGAAAAGGAGGGAGTGTGAGAGTCGGGGATATTCTGAAATGATACCAGCCTCAGTTGAAAGGGCACTTGTCTTGGATTTCACGAGCTGCTAAATTTAACATGCTGCCTTCCCATCAAGCTGTGAGTGATCTGAGCTGTTCTGTCCCACACCACCACTGTAAGTCTCTGAAGCTGTGAAAAATCGCACTTTTACAGGACAACAAACAAATAAACAAACACCACATAGGTTTTGAGAATTACAATTAGGTGTCACACATACATTTAGGCCCCGTCCACACGGAGACGAAAACGAAAACTAACCTTAGTCGTTTTCAAAAAAGTATTCCGTCCACACGGAAACGGCTCAAGAAACGTGTCCGTCTACGAAAACGCTCGAAAACGCTGGAGACGCTGTAGTACATATGCCGTGCCTGTAAGTGGCGCTATATTATTATATTATTATTGTTGCTGATGGTTGTGGTAGAGGAGCTGTAGATTTTGCACTAAAATCTGTATCATGGCCAGTAGCATCTGGAGCACGAACGCAACCCTGTGATCCGCCATTGTTGTTGTTGGCGAAACGCATCAGCAATGACGCGGGTGTGAGCAGGAGAGGCGGGGCTATGGCGTCATCGTTTTCAAGAAATGATCGTATAGGGCATACAGTGTACACACGGAGCCGCACGCCTTTCGTCCTCAGACCTACCCACTTTGGGAGCCGTTATCAAAGTGTATCGGATTCGGGCTACGAATCCACGTTTCCGTTTCGGCCTCGTGTGGACGAACCGTCTATGCGATAGAGAACGTTAGCGGATTCAACTGATATCGTCTCCGTGTGGGCGGGCCTTACTACTGTGTGTTAATTCATTCTGGCTTTTCCTATCCAAAAATAAACAAATACATGTAAATATAATATGAGAACTTATATAAGTATGTATTTTGTAACAATAGTAGACATCTTGACTGCCATCAAATATTATTTGCCCGATAGATGTAACTTTGTATTCAGTTTTTAAAGTTGGCTACTGTTTCGTTTTCAGGTTTGAGAGTTAGGGTTAGGGGTTTTGCATTATCAATTACAAAATCTAACACATATCCCACTTTTTATAATGTGTGCTAAATAAAAATAAACTTGCCATATATCTAGATTTTCTCAAGATCAGGCTCTGTAAAAGAAAAATATTAAATATGAAAACCATTGTGACTTCAGCAGAGCCCACATTAGCAACAACAGAACAGAACTTTAAACAAACTTAAAATCCGTCTGTCTTGTGAGTTGGGATCATTTCACCTCTTCGGACAAATTGCCTTAAACTGTTATCCAGTGATGCCCCCCGCCCCCATTTTCACACACACACACACACGCACGCGCACACACATACACACACACACACACCTCACGACTGTGTGACATAATGACCTCCTCAGCAGGACATCATACTGAAGCTCCCAACATTCAGTTCTCTGTCAGTCAGATATAACTGCACACATTTAGATAAAGCTCCCGTAATGTAACAGGTTCACTTACTTTACTGTTATTTTAATGTAATGGGTGTCATCATTGGAAAGTTTCATTTTTCTTAAACCTAAAACTTTCAGAAATCTGCTCTTTTTAAACTTAACACATGATTGTTCCAAAAACATTTGTTGGTTTTATACGTTTTATTCTTATTTTATTACAGCTAGGATCACAATTAAAGACATCAAAACACTCGAAAATCAGATCTCTGTATAATGCTATACTGACTGGTGATATAGATATGGCTTTGCTATTGCTGATGTATCACTGTTTGTATCCCATAATAAAAGTTATGATATTACGATTCAGCACTGTGAACAATCTATTTATTATGTGTTAAATATATTGTGACCTTTAACACATTTTGGGATATATATTTATTTACACAAGTGTATATATTTTCCAAAGAGTTGTCATCCTAAACTATAGGATGACAGGAGGAGCTATATTAACAGTTATTATAAGTATATCAGGTCAAAACCGCCTGCAGTAAAATGGTCCTAACATTAGCTTAAGAAAATGACAGGAATCTACACAATACAATTGTTATATTTAACATCTCAAAGATCATTTGAGTTTTGTATGTCCATTGGTAAACATCAGAAGGCTGAAGGATTTGTTAGGATAGACTTTGTTATTGCTTCCTTTTTGTTGCTGGGTTTCAACTCAGTGACACCTGCCACACACACACACACACACACACACACACACACACACACACACACACACACACACACACACACACACACACACACACACACACACACACACACACACACACACACACCCCTCAGTTCATTGGTAATTTGACCACAGCCCCGCCTACACTGACTTCTCTATAAAGCTGGCTAGCTGAGGGAGTTGAAGTTACACAGACTGGCCCTTTAAACACACAGATCTCCTCAGCACACACTTTCTACTTTAGATCAGCTGAGTTTGACAGGACACTTTAAGGAGACACATATATTTTCATCCTATATTATTTCTTTCTTTTATAGAAGATACTTTGTGGAGACTTTCTCTGTCATCGGAGGAACTTTTGGAGGAACTTTTCTTCTTCTTGTCGCTGTGAGGGACTCTTCTTCAGATGGATCTGTCCGACCTTCCCTTCCCTCTCTCGTCTGCTGATGACCTTTACGATGACCCCTGCTTCAGCACCAGTGACATGAACTTTTTTGATGACCTGGACTCTCGGCTGATGCACGCTGGCCTGCTCAAGCCAGATGACCATGTCCATCACCATCATCACCACCATGTCCCAGTTGCAGAGGAGGAGGAGGAGGAGGAGGACGAGCATGTGAGGGCTCCTGGGGGCCCCCATCAGGCGGGGCACTGCCTGCTTTGGGCCTGCAAGGCCTGCAAGAGAAAGACGTCAAACGAAGACCGGAGGAAAGCAGCAACAATGCGGGAAAGGCGGCGACTGGGAAAGGTCAACAACGCCTTTGAGACCCTGAAGCGATGCACGGCGTCCAATCCAAACCAGAGGCTGCCCAAAGTGGACATCCTGCGCAATGCTATCAGCTACATCGAGTCCCTGCAGTCGCTGCTCAGGACCGGCAGGGAGGACAGCTTCTACCCGCCCATGGAGCACTACAGCGGGGACTCAGACGCCTCCAGCCCGCGCTCCAACTGCTCCGATGGCATGGTGAGAACAGCTGAGCGCTTCATGTGCTGCCTCATGAGATGTTTGGAATGCCTTTGGGATATTTATTTTCGGCCACAGCACTTCAATACATTTTCATTGAAGGAACTCTTTAAAATAAAGGCACACTTTTAGGCACATTTTTGGCCAAAATATTTTCTTTCACTAAATCACAAGAAATGCTCTTCTTCCACCATTATTGTCACCAATGTGGTATTGATTTGGAAAGAAAGCATCCAAATGCAATGATCTGCTTTTTGAAAATAAACCAACACATCATTATTTAGATGGACTACCCAAAATATGATTTTCAATTTGTTATGACATTTGAAAGATTATTTGACAATGTTACATTGTGGGTGTGTTGGAAAGTGGAGTCTTAATTCCAAGAGGCAGATTGAGTTTACAAGTTACAAATGCATATGTATCCTTTTTGATCTAAGATATGCTAAAATGCTAAAGATTGGAATGGACACTGGCTCTTAAGTGTGTTAAGAGGCACACATATGTGATAAGACTGATTATTTTACTGAATTAAACTCTTTTAATTCAACATTTAATTCAACATAGGCAACACATTTGGCGTGTTTTCTGACACAGGTGACATCTTTGAATTGTAACCAGCTCTGTGTATTATTTCTCTTTTCAAACATTGTGTCCACTAATTGTTCATTGATGTACAATTGTTGACTTACAACTTTATTGATTTGTGTTTCCAGACGGATGTCATCTCTCCGTGTTCATCCAGAAGCGAGAACAGTGATGGTTCCTACTGCAGCCACCCAGACGGTCAGTTTCATCTTCAACCTTGTCACTGCTTTTTCATGATGTGTTTCTCTTTTAGAAAAACTTGTTTCTCTTTTAATTTGACCAGTTTCTGTTTTAATGGGACATTATGATGGTGTTAGAACTTAAACATTCTTTATTTCAATACAACTAGCTTCCTCCTTGACATGAATAATTTGTCTTCTTAAACAACTGCTTCTCATCTTCAACCTCATTTATTAATGTGAACTTAATGTAACACTTTTTTTTTATGTCAACACTGGAATTTAAAGTAACTTGCTGCTCCATTTATGTGCCTGATTCCTCCTTTCACCTAAGTATTATTTTATTATAACTTTGGTACTACTTTACAATTATAAAGGGTTTAAGAATAGTTTGTAATTCATTTATTAATTAGGTTGTGAACACTTTATAAATCATGAATAAGCTTTTATAAGACATGAGATAAACAGGGCAACTGTGACCGGTTGCTTGCCAAATAGTGAGCCCACATTTATCTGTACTGCTAAGCCTTATCTTGGCTACTTAGCTTACTTCGTCTTCTTCATCAGCCAGCTTCCTTGGTATCTGTTGTTCACTGAGTTGATTCTCGCCAAGTAGCCAATATAAGGCTTAGTTATCTTGCCAAATAGTGAGCCTGTGTTGATGTATTCAAATTACGTTAGAACTGGTTTATAAATGGTTCTTAATGATTAATAAAGTGTTTATAACCTAATTCATAACCTAATTATAAACCCTTTATGAATCCTTTATAAGGGTAGTCTTATTGTAAAGTGGTACCATAACTTTTACTATGACCTTGTTGGATTTTCTTTTTTAAACAACTCGTTATTTTACTTATTTCTCCTAAAAATACAAACATTTTGAAGCCAACTGAGCAGAAACTCATGTTGCCTGTTTATTTTCTTACAGATTCCAGCAGCAAACCATCGCTCATTTCCAGTTTGGACTGTTTGTCCAGCATCGTACAGCGGATCAGCACAGATCCTGCTCCGGCCCCACCAGGCGACAGTGTGGTCCCCCGGGGCCCTGAATCCCCTCAGAGCAGCCCTGCAGGCTCGAGTTCCTCTGCTGAGCCCAACAGCATCTACGAGCCGCAATGAACCACAACGAGCTGAGGACTCATCATTTGCAGAAAGCCAAGACAACGTATTCAAGACTTTTTTTCTGCTATTTGAGATTTTCTTCAGTTTTATCTACGTGGACAAACTGAAGACTGCTGTTTGAATCTATTAATCTCAGAAGGAAAAAGGGACATTTTCCTCACTTATTCCTGCGTCAGAAATTATGGACCATTTTATAAATCTGTATATAAGAGATGTTTATACACCCAAGGACACACACCTCCAAGCACACATGTGGCACATACACTCATACAGCCACAAAGGTTGCAGCGATTGTTGTGTTTCTATATATTATTTATGAGTGAATGACATTTTAATAAAATTAATATTTATATTCTGTAAAACTATTCAACTGGTCTTTCAGATCTTTCCTGTTGTTTTTAGCTTTGCTTTAATTCTCCTGCTCTAGTAGCTAACTTGTATGAACCATTTTCCTGGTTTATGTAGATTTCTCCTCTAAAAACAACTGATGAGAGAACTGATGATGAAGGTCAATGTAAAGTTTGTTGAAAATATACACAAAAAACAACATAGGATAGTAAGTCGAAAATATCAGAAAAAAAGTCATATTATAGTGTGACCAAAATCAGAAAAAACGATAGTACATTATGATGAAAAAATGTCATAGTTTAGTATGACGTAAGTTTCCATATAAAGACGACATAGTTATAATTTGATGAAAAAATGTCATAGTATGTTGAAAATATCTGAAAAAAATAAGCATGGTATGCCGAAAAAAAGATATATTACAGTATGGCAAAAATATAATAAAAAAATACTTTCTACATTATAGTTTGTCAAAAAAATGTCATGGTATAGTTAGTTGAAAATATCAGAAAAAAACAACATTGCATTGTAAGTCCCAAAAAAGTTATATTATAGTAAGCTCCAAAATATTATAAAAAACGACCTAGTATAAGTAAGTCTAAAAAATGTCATAGTATAATATAGTTTGTAGAAAGTTTGCGTGAAAAGACGACATTGAATAACCTGATAACTAGTCTAAAATAACCATTGTGTGTACTACTGTATGTCGAAAAAGTTATAGTATAGTATGCCGAGAAATATCATAAAAATCATATCGAAAAATGTCATAAAAAAAGGACATAGTATTTAATGTCGAAAAATATATTTTTTAAAATGGCATGGTATGTCGTACATCAGAAAATACACATAGTCTGTCGATAAAAAAGTCAAAGTCTTGAATGTCGAAACATTTAAAGGTCTCCTATTGTACTATTTGTAGGTATATTGTAGGTCCCAGACAGGGGCGGATCTAGAAACATATTCATGGGGTGGCAAGAGGGTGGCAGGAGATTTTGAGGGGTGACATCCCCTGGCAGAAGTATATGCTGCAGTCATATCAATCAATGTTAACTTGGAAAGCCACAATATTTATATTTGAACTCAATAACATTTGGTGACATTATTGTGGCACATCAGTAAAGCCTTAAATAGACCCTCCAGAAAAACGCGGGCAAAAATCCTTGATTATGCGATTAAACATGCAGGGTTTTTATGTGATTTTATGCGGTGAAATTGCGGGAAGTTGCGAAATATGCGGAAAGTTGCGAAATATGCTAAATATTTTTTTTTAAATATTGGGCTGTCTTATTTATTCTCTCTCACACACAACCTGCCACTAACGTTAAACCCCTTTACTATTCAATTAAACACATTCAATGTTTATTTATTGTAAAAGCAATTGGGCTATTTTAATCACACACACACACACACACACACACACACACACACACACACACACACACACACACACACACACACACACACACACACACACACACACACACACACACACACACACACACACACACACACACACACACACACACACACACACACACACACACACACACACACACACACTTCTCCGCCTCATTCTGTTTTGGAGGTTGATGCCTCGGTGAACGTGAGTTGTTTGGCTTTCTTGTCCGCAGCAGCAGAAAGCATGTTCGAATGTTTGAATGAATCAAAGTGGGTCGTCACCGTGGATTTTCTCTTATGCTCCAACACAGTTGCACAGGGTACAGAATAGTTTCCCCCCACTTTCGTGCAAGACATCGGGGTACTGCTTTGCCCGGTCTTTAGCAGAAATGTTCGTCGGTAAATGAGATGGATTAGATTTTTTCATCTTGGTGTTTTCTCTCTCATGTGAGTTCCACACGTTCACTCTACGGTGTTGTTTACCTTCTGTGATGCGCGAGCAGATGACGTTGCGTCATCATCATCATCACTACTTCACTTCAAGACGAGTTAACTTTTTTTTCCCTCAATTTTGTGTGGAATAATGCGGGGATTATGCGCCCTTTTAATAAATATGCGCCCTTTTAAAAATCTGCGCCATTTAGCTGATTATGCGGTAAATTATGCGATCGCATAATCACGTTTTTCTGGAGGGTCTACTTAAATATATATAAGGTGGCAGACATAATTGAATGAATTTTAACTGAACAGTAACTGAATGAGTTTGTCTCACTCTTAGACCAGCAGGGGTACCAAATCTATGCAGACTGCTGCAATAAATACATTAATTAACTGTCTCGTCAATGTTTGTCTAAATTAATATGATACTATTAACAATCATATTATTTCTATCAGCCAGTGGCGGCCGGCCCATAGGGGCGCTAGGGGCGCCGCCCCACCTCTTCCCAAATACAACATTTTTTTTTTTTTAAATATTAAATTAAATAAATAAATAAAAAAAATATATATATATTTTATATTTTTATTTTTAATGAACAAGGTAAATATCATACAATTGGTATCAGTAAAATGTATAATCCACAATAAAATCTCGTTTAAAATTGTGTTACGATGTCGCGCATATGATTTATATAATCAGACAACGTGCGTTAAAAAACATTGTTACATGGCTTTGTTGAATACTCGATTCTGATTGGTCAATTCAGAACACGTGACACGTTGTTAATCCAGAACAGACAGACCGCTGTCAAGGATTTATTGACCGTTGTTAAGGACGCTCATATCTGCACAAAGAAGTCCGTTCGATTTAACTGTATACAGTTTGGCTGAATTTTTAACTGACAAGACAAGAGCGACAAGAAAACAGCGGAGAAGTAACGGGCAGAAACCCTCCTTTTTACGCAGCGGTCCAGACCAACCCGGTATCACGGCAAGACGTGAACATGTGACGATTTACCAACCTGGGAGACGTGAAGATGTCACGGTTTCGTCCCCTTCAAACGTGACAGCTACACGGTATTGTTAACCCATGTTAACCAGTGGAGAAATAACCGGAAATACCAAGCAAATGCTACCCCGACAAAAAGGACAAAAAAGGTTGGGCACCCCTGATTTAGATGATCCAGAAGAGGATTGGGAGAATGTCATATGGTCAGATGAAACCAAAATAGACGTGTTTGGAGGAGAAAGAATGATGAGTTGCATCCAAAGAACACCATACCTACTGTGAAACATGGGGGTGGAAACATCATGCTTTGGGGCTGTTTTTCTGCAAAGGGACCAGGACGACTGATCCATGTAAAGGAAAGAATGAATGGGGCCATGTATCATGAGATTTTGAGTGACAACTTCCTTCCATCAGCAAGGGCATTGAAGATGAAACGTGGCTGGGTCTTTCAGCATGACAATGATCTCAAACACACCGCCCGGGCAACGAAGGAGTGGCTTCGTAAGAAGCATTTCAAGGTCCTGGAGTGGCCTAGCCAGTCTCCAGATCTCAACCCCATAGAAAATCTTTGGAGGGAGTTGAAAGTCTGTGTTGCCCAGCGACAGCCCCAAAACATCACTGTTCTAGAGGAGATCTGCATGGAGGAATGGGCCAAAATACCAGCAACAGTCAGTGTGTGAAAACCTTGTGAAGACTTACAGAAAACGTTTGACCTCTGTCATTGCCAACAAAGGGTATATAACAAAGTATTGAGATGAACTTTTTTTATTGACCAAATACTTATTTTCCAACATAATTTGCAAATAAATTCTTTAAAAATCAGACAATGTGATTTTCTGGATTTTCTTTCTCATTTTGTCTCTCATAGTTGAGGTATACCTAGGATGAAAATTACAGGCCTCTCTCATCTTTTTAAGTGGGAGAACTTGCACAATTGGTGGCTGACTAAATACTTTTTTGCCCCACTGTATATGTTCTCTTTTTTCCTTTTTTTTTTCTCACTCAAATTAATAACAAAGTACAAAAAAAATAACAAAAAAATAATAATAATAATAATTCTCAGATTCTCAGAATGAATGCCCATGATTTTGAAATGACATGTTCAAAACAAGGTGACGAATGCCCTATAACTGACAATATAGTGAACCAGTATGTAAATCGATTGAATTTGACCTATTTATTGTTTTTTTAATTTACTTTATGGTTTGTGAGCCGAGCTGTGTGATTTTTTTATTTCATCTATTTTCTGAGGTTTTACAGTCCTTTACAAATAAAGCTGTATTGTATGATTTATTTATTTTTTACTCAATTAATATTTTTACATTTGGGTTTACAATGAGGTTTTTTTGCCCACAATGTATTAGTTGTAAATTCATTACACCCACACCTTCGCACATAGTTATACATCTAGCTGAATTCTGCAATGACAAGACACAGTTAGGTATGGCAACTTAAAGTGTATATAAAGTTAGCTTCTCATTAACCATGCTAATAGGTGCATTTATACTGTTAGCCCTAGTCTATGTGTTAGCCACCAAAGTGTTTGTAAACTAGCTTAAACAATTGTTTGATTTGGCTGTCTACTGGCAAACATTAGGGTAAGAAACCGACTCAAAACTTACCAAGAAGATATCTACTCTCATTTTGCTTACATTACTTTTCGCCTTGTTTAGAAGTAGTTGAAGTTTTATGCTAATAGAGGTGTTATTTTAGCCGGCTTCAAAGTCCCGCCCTCTGCGCAAATAGCGGTTCTCTTTCCTGATTGGCCGAGAGACGTTTGATGACTCATGATCCCTGGGCTGCAAAGCGAGGGGTGAGAACCAGAGGGGCGTAAGTGACATTTGACCAACTTTACAGGAGAGCCAAAAAAAAAAATGACCATACTTTATCCTGACTTTGTTTATTAAATTCAATCTTTAATATGAAAACTTCATAAACATGTGGATGACAATATACTTAATGAACAATATTTTGACTTTCATTGAAAAAAATATTCTTCTATTTTTTTAAAATTCGGAATAAAGTCACATGCGCCTTTTTGAAACTAAGATTTTATATCATATGAACTAAAAAATAGGGCGTATCTGATAAATATAGGAAAAAGGCTTTACATTAATGAGGTCAAAAGTAACAGTAATCAATTGTTATAATAACAATATTATATGAAAATATCCT